CCGAGTATTACAAGTAGTTTTTTCGTAATAAACCCGAAGATAAAAAAAAAAGCAGCGCGCGCGGATCGTTAATTAAATTACTTATATAGCCGCGCTGCTGCTCGTCTTGCTAGCTATGTACGCTATATAAGACGCGCCGCGCGCCACGAAAGTATAAAGTGCGCCGGCTCTGCTTCATTGAACTCGGGGTAAACTTTCGAGTTTAACTTTGTCCCCCCCCCCTCACACGGCCTGCGTTGCCCATGTGTATCGTTATATATAAATATACGTATACAGGTATATAGACACAGCGTGGCGAGCCGTTGCAGCAGCGCATCCTTCATGTTTTTTTTTTTTTGCCTCTTTTCGTCGCTGCGACTATAAACTTTATTTATCACTGCCACGCGCGTCGTCGTCGTCGTCGTCGCGTCCCAGCCAGTTATTAAGTAAATAGCGAATACGGAGATTTTTACGGAGCAAAAAGGAAGGAAAAAAAATAAGGGGAAGAAGATCTCTCGGGGGATGCGCGCCTTTTTATTACGTAAATTTTTTAGAACGATTTTTCTTTTATCTTTTATCTTTCGTCGCGCGCGCGCGTGCCTCGATCGTCGATCGTTCGTTGCGCTTGTATATAAACCGTCGACTGGATATAGTTTACGCGTCGCGCTCCGAGTGTAATTTTTCAGTGTTTCACGCGCTCGATTATCATTATTATTATTATTATTATTACTATTTCTGCCAGCTTATCGGAAAACAATGTGCCGAGCAGCAGCCAGTCGCCGATATTCGCGCGTCATCGCGTTCGCGCCAGGAACAAAGAGAAATAGAGAGAGAGAGAGAGCAACCTTATAAACACTGCGTTTCTTTTATTGCTCTTTCTTTTCCCTTTTGCTCTCTTTTTTTTTTTGCTCGCGAGCAGTAAATCCTTTCTCGCAGATGCGATATTACCTGCTACTTCTATATATACTTGTACTATATACTGGCGCAATATCTAACGGCTTGAAGCGCTCGTTATCGTTACCTTGGCTATTTCCTTTTCTCTCTCTCTCTCTCTCTCTTTTGCTCTCTGCAGCTACCGCTGCTACTGCTGCTGTTGATGGTGTGCACCTTTAAGGTTCTCCCTAGAGCTTCGTCGTCCTCTCTCTCCTTCTCTCTCTCTCGCTCTCGTACCTTCTCACCTCGGGGAAACTTCCGGAAATTAAAGCAATTATCTTGGTTGTATATTACAGACACACTCGCTCGTACACACATACAAACACGTACACACGCGTACGTATATACACGGGAACAGCGGCTTTTCCCGCCCTGAACGCAAACGAATTTTCTCGATTAATCAAGCCCCCCGCGCGCGTTCGCAGCTTTACACATTGCTAATTATTATAGCTGTTTGTGTTTTGCTCTCGCCAGCGCGCGTGGCGATAAGAGAGAACGAGGAAAATTTAATTTTTATCTGTCGCGCGTAAAATAAAGGACAACGAGCTGATGTCTCTCTGTTTTTTTACTCGTTACCTTTTTCCCTTGGCCTCTCTCTTAAAGCATATATATATTTGTTGAGAAACGAGAGTAGAAATTGCGTTGAAAGCTACGTATTTATACGATCAGATCGAGGTGGTGGTGGTGTTGCAAAAGGTACCGAAGGGATTTGAGCGCGCCTTTCAGCTGATAAAGAGACTTACGATAATTGCAATAGTCGAGTCAGGCATCGAATAATGGCTTTTCCAACGTGTGCCGCGCCCGCACACACGCACACACATACGCGCATCTATATGTATGTGAGTGTGTGTTCAGTCAGTTATACGTTACATCGCGTACGCATAGGATCCGAACCGGCGGATCCGCAAGCTGCAACTTTTGGCGCTCTCGCAAAAGCTCACGATTTGTGTATGTGCGGAGGGGGCGATTCTACTACGACGCTTAGCGAATTAGTACCGGGGCGCCCCTGCTAATTGCAGCTTCCTGGGATTTTGAAATTGTGCATTCGCCACTGCTGCTGCTGCTGCTACTGCTGCTGAGAAAGTTCGACGTTCGGGACAATAATTTTGAACACGGGCAGCTACCAACCCCATAGAGAGAGAGCTGCAAGTCCAACCGAGAGAGAGAGAGATTTATAAAATCTAGAAATATTATACCCAGACGACGCGCGCAATCGTATTTCAAGCTTTACGCGCGATATTTTCCTATGTATAAGCAAAAAAAAAAAGCTGCGTGCGTGCTACGGACAGTCGAGACGACGCGCGATCGAGTCTCTCGAAGTTTACAGGAAATTCATGTTTGCGCATTACACCGCGCGCGCGCCCCGTCGACGGAGTTTTCATCTCGGATGGTTGGGAGCTGGGAGCGTGTGTATGTGTGTACACGTAGACGTAGACGGTCTATTACTACATAAGCACCGTGAAATTGGAAAGTCACATTTACGAAATTGACGTATACGCTATATATTTGTATATTACGTACGGCGTTCGCACATGTAAATGCGCTGCGCTGCAGCGTCTTCGTAATTTTTTGTGCGCTTCGCGCGCGTGAATAAAATTTTATCGAGTTTCGTCTCCTCCTCCTCCTCCTCCTCTTCTTTTTTTTTGCGATTGGCTGCGGTGGCACGGAAGACTGGCACGCGCGAGCTTACACACGCAGCGAACTGCCCCGAGATTTGAATACATATATATAAAGTTGGTCGCGTTGAGCCACGCGGCGATGCAAAGTATTTCTCACCGCACACACGATAGTCGAGGGCGGAAAAATCGCATTTGAAAAAAAAATACAAAGAATCCTCGCGCGCGATCGCACGATATCCGTATGTATGTATATGTGCCTATATATATGCACAGAATATCTGCGGAGGGAAAAAAACGACGACGAGCTACTGCTCCTCCTCCTGCTCGTCGTCTTCGTCGCCGAGTCAATGCGTATATAAAAAGGCTCAGGCAAAAGTAGAAAGACGCGGGAGGGGGGTATTTTCCGAGCTCGAGTTTATTGCTTTTAGCTTGTGGTGCTTCGCGCTCGACTCTTCCGCGTCGCTGTGCGGTACTGCGAGCGACACTTTGGAATCCTCGGGACTTTAAATATTATTCCGTGTTCGGAGATCGGCATACAAACGCGAACGCGCACAAACATATATAGTATATACGTAATAGCCCTAACCCCTTTATTTTCCTATAACCAAAGCCCGAACATGTACCGCTTCGATAAACGTATCTTGTGTGTACATTAAAGCTTATCGATGACGAGGAATATACGAACTTCTACGATACTCGATAAACATTTTTTTTCACCATGAATTTTTTTACGAAGCATTAAATCTTAATTTCTTCATATTTTAAACAAAATCGCATCGATCACCAATAAAAAATGTCATCGCTTTGGACGTTGATGAGTTTATAAATAAGAATTATAATAACACTTTGAAAATTTAAGTTTTTTTTCTTTTTATTTAAAAATTTCTTACGTCTATTTACATCATGAAAAATACTTATCTGAAGCAAAATGTCAGAAAACATGATTTTAGTAATATTTGCTTGCGTTAGAGAGATAACAATATTGATTCTGTGAAATATTATTCCAAATTGTATTATTCAAGTTGCATGGAAAATTTTTTAGCGATAATTAAATATTATTAAATACTGCAGCTAATACAAAACATTTGATAGTTCACTTTTACATATGAGTGCATCGTGTAGAAATAAAATTAATCTTTGTTTACCCCAGCGAAAAATTTTTTTAAATGAAGTGCATAATTATATTGTGAACTGTAATAAAAAGTAAAAAAGTGTAAAAAATGTAAGAATGAGTAGAACGTTGAATATTCGGTGGTTGCTTCGTGGGCCATGTTGTTCATCTTCATTTTGACAGGCCCGGGATTCGAAATATTTCGTTTCCCGGCCTACTTTTGTAAAGATGGGATTACCAATTTTTTGGGTTTTCGATTTTGTAAAATATATCACATTTTTAGAGGCAATATCACAACAGTCATTTACTCCATTGGCAGGTATCATTTGTTCTAGATCACTTTCTTTTATATGCTCACACAAGCGCAACAAATCTTCGTCGCTCATGTGTCCCGCGATTATTCGGCAGTATGTGGCAGTTTCAGTTGACAATGGTCTGTCATGAACAGATCGGCGGCCAACAGTTCGAATTGTGGCCTCAAAAGAACGTTTGCTATGTGTTTTTTTACTTTCCGAACACGTGACGCTTTTCAAAAACAATTCATGTCTGAAATTATTCGATCTCTTATGTTGTACGATTATTTTCTCTAGTTTGCTCGAAAAATGGTCTATTCGGTAAAATCGTCCAGGCAGCTGTCGCCTCCTTACAATAATCCTTAATAATTATTATTAAAACGTTTTTTGATTTCTAAATGCAATATTTTTTAAGATCATTTAAAGATACATATGTTTCTGATGAAACTGTTAGAGATATCTATCAGCTTATGCTTCCGCATGCGGCTCAATTATTTCCGCCAGATTTCTGGTTCACGACGCCAATCGATAGATTGCCATCGCGGCGAAGGAAATTCGATAAGAAATGAAAAGGAAAAAGTATCAACGTTACTGCATTTAACGTTTAGAATGTTTTAACCATTTTTATAGTCAATTTTTGGGTAGTACCAAATAAGTTGTTGGTAAACCTTGATTTTGTAATATCAGTACTTATGAATGATTGTGAAATCTTCATAATATACTTTATTTATTGACCTATTCTTCATCTATAATTTAATTTAATTCCAAACATACGAGCTATTCCTATAGTGGTTAACGCAAATAATTGTAATGAAAAACAACAAATAACTTTTTATCCAAAAATTTAACGTAATTAAACTATTACTTTTATTTGTAAAATTAAGTAACTCGTTTTTTAATTTAAATTATTTACGTCTCTAACTAATTTTTACTCATCTACAATTGTCGATTCATAAAAATTACACTTTGCGATTTCTAAGTAATGTTCAACCTCAAATTGAAGAATATTTATTATTTACCAGTAGATCTGACTCAAATAAAACTAGTTAGTTCGTCGGAAAATATCGTGTACGAAGTATCAATCGTCAACCGAATTTGAAGTATCAAAGATGGAAGCCAGTAGTTTATTTAATTCTGCCATAAGGTAATTTTCATTTAACGAGAATTAAAGAATGCAATAATCAAATAATTACGCCTGATTTTATCTGATTAATTAAAGAGTAAAGCTAGAGCCCGTTGACGTTTCGCTAAGAGAAGATGATGATCGTGCTGTAATTGGCAAGATACCCGACCATGAAAATATTCAAATTTCCACATTTCTGCTGAAAAATCACGTAAGGGTTGATAATAGTTTTTTAATGTTGATATGGTAAATAGTTTTGACGAAAACTTTAACCTACCTTTAATTCTATTACAGACTTGTAAGCTTGAAAAATGTGACAAAAATCAAGAAAGTAAACTTGATGACGATATGCAGATTGTATTGGAATGCCAAGACGTAAAGCCTACGTGGACTTTTTTAGCAGTCGAGAAAATTGAAAATAAAACCACCGTCAAAGTAGAAACTTTAGGAGCAGTAAAAAAAGAATTTATTGTCGATGAAGCAGAAAAATGTATGAATTTCGACTGTGAGCTCGGTGAGCAAAGTCAAGAAAGAAATGTCACAAAAGATTGCAACATAGGACACAAACGCAAAATACATTCCAGTACGGTGCACAGTGGCATCACGCATAATTGCGACATGTGTGGGAAAACATTCGGGCGAAAGTATTATCTCAAACGACACATAGATTCAGTGCACAAGAAAAAGACTCATACATGTGATACATGCGGAAAGTCCTTTACTCAAAAAGGTCATCTCAAAACTCACATCGATTCGATCCATAATGGTATCTCTTATGTATGCGAAAAGTGCGGAAAGACATTCTCAAGAAAGGATAGTCTTAAAATTCACATCGCTTCGATCCATAATGGAATCATCCATACATGCCAAATCTGTGGAAAGACATTCGCCAGAAAGAATATTCTCAATGTTCATATAGATTCAGTGCACAAGAGAAAGACTCATTCATGTGATACATGCGGAAAGTCCTTTACTCACAAAAGTAGTCTCAATAACCACATCTATAGAGTACATAATGGTATCCATGTATGCGAAATGTGCGGAAAGACATTCGGGCGTAAAAGAAGTCTCAAAGCTCACATCGTTATGGCGCATCATTCATGCATAAAGACCAAATAAATCGACAAAATCATTGTTTAATTTTTCCAAAAATCTCGTATGACGATCCAGTCTGTTAATCCAGAAGATTCGTACTTTTTATCTATTATAATATTACGATGTATTTCTGTTATGATCGGTCTTGGCTATTTTAAACTACTTATAAATAAGTTTGATTTCCGGCAAAGTATACTCTTATTAACAATAATAGAGTTTTAATAGCAACGTTACCGATAAAATATTCATTGTAATTTTTCACAAATTAATTATAACTAATATATTGGAATATCGAAATAATCGTCAAAGATGTACTTCTAATTATTTGATATAGTGTGACCTTTATAGATTTTTTAAGTGTTATTTACAATGGCTATGAAGATAATTCATTAAAATATTAAAATGTCTAAAAAATCGTCAAAGTTACATTTGTTGATATTATCTGCCCATTAATCATGAAACAAGTCATAGTCAATAGCAACACTCTGCTTATGCTGCACTCAGATTTTCAGTACGAAATACCACTCGACGGTACTTGCAGGCGATGTGCAGCGGCGAGCACGTGTACGAGTCGACATTGACACCCGCGCCTTGGCTTATGAATCGTTGCACCGCCTCGATATTGCCTGCACTGAAGCAGACTCCGTGTTAATAGGTGTATCCATGATCGTCGCAATGATTTTTCTCGGAATTTTTCAAAATAAGATCAATGATGGACTTATAGCCAGTGAGTCATCGTAGCTGTGATATTTTTCCCCTTTGCTTTCGTGTTGATTATCGCGCTTTACGATTACTTCGATTTTCAAAAGCAGTTTGACTTAATAAGGCCGCTCGCGCGCAATGCTGGAGACTTGACGTGAAATTACTCATATACACGAAGCTGTAAACGACGCGCGCAGATGCATACAGCTGCCAGTCCGATGCTTCTCATTAGCATGTCGAGTCAACATTCGTGGACTGCTGCTGCATCCGAATATCCAGCGGCAGAAACATCGCGTAATACACACACACAGTAACGTGCAGTATATAATCCCAGGTAAATTATAGCGCCCCCCCCTCCCCCCTCGGCCCCGCAGCTCTCGAGTCACCCGCGCGCAATGGACGCGTATATATAATTTCGGGCGGTACGACGCGTTATATTCGTCGCTCGATGACATTTCCTTTTGCTGTATATATCTATGTATACGCTCGAACCCCTGTATGCTCAGAGCTCGCAGAGCTTCCGAAAATTTATCATAATATACTCGTCGTGCGATCGCTTTTATGTATATCGCTCGCGCGCGCCCCCGACTAAATGCTCCCGCGATCGTTTCGTTTAATTGCCGCGCACGTCGAGCCGCGTGATCGCGTATATAGCGCGCCGGGTTTATAATAATAGCTAGCCCGCGTGCAGCATTGATTAAATGTAGTGGATGATTACGAGCGCGCGCGGACGATTAGCTCTCGCGCGATTGTCGTTGCGCACAGGTAACATCATTCGCCCCATGCCAAGGGAGAATTTTCCCCGATGATAATGATGATTGAAAATCATCGCGTACGAGCGGTAGCAGCACGAATTTCCGATTTTTTCAGAGCCATAAAAGTAAATATCGCATCGCACGAAATAATACGCTGCGCTGTGTATACGCGGACACGCGCGCGATTTAATTTTCCGATTGCGCGGCTCGTTCGTCGTCCTCCCTCTGCATGCGCTGAAATATGATAATAAACACCCGATACATTGGATGCGGCTCGTGCACGAGTACATAAATAATAAGCGCACAAAAACCACGAGCAGCGTTCCGCGCAGTGCAGAAAAAGAAGCGAATTCGTGAAATTTACCATGACACGCAGCTTCCCCCGGACTCGCAATGTGTATAACGCGAAAAAACAGTAACAGCGGCGGCTAACGTCAAAACGAGAAAAGAAAATATGTAGACGATTGGCTCGGAGATAGCGCGCGCGACGTCGCGCGAGCGGCGAGAGGTCGGTATACGAAAAAAACTTTCGAGATGAGAGAAAGTATAATTTCGCGGCCACATGATTAACGAGGTTTGCCTGCGCGCGCCCCGCTTCGTATACATAAGCTCGATCCTCGCCTCCTTTTGCGAATGGTTATTATTCATTTTCATTATTCGCGTGCAGATGTTCGCAGGTGGCGGCGGTCGACTCGTGGGATGCTGTCGCTACTGTTGCCGCGGCTTCTGCATCGCGTCGCGCAACGAATTCTTTATTTTTATTTTTTTTTGTTTTACTCTTTCTAAATGGCGAGCGCGTGTTTATTCGATATCGCGCGTGCAAGTACGAGAACGATAGTAACGATTCGCAGCGTCGCGCGTGATACATCGCGTCTGCACGCCATAAATCGAGCGACAATATGACATTATATTTTTACATTTTTATATATTCGTATACGTCGCCGCTCGGATCTTCGGAATACGATCGCTTATTTGATTCATGAGAGCAAGATGTAATCGAGTTAAAGGCTTTTATTTTTGTTTTTTTTTTTTTTTTTTGAACGCGCGCCTAGTTCACGTGCCTGTAAATTATATGATTGAGTGCGCGTAGAGTGCATAGGATGCGTAAGGAGAGATAAGGGCCACCGAGGGACCGTTTTTACTAGCGTTTCAGTTTTTTCTTGTCTGTTTTTTCCACGCTTTTAAAAGCACGCATAAACATGCGCCAATCGCTCAAATGTAATATCTATTCACGCAGCCATCATCGATTAACATTTTTTTTTTCATACTCTCTCGTCCACCCGAGTCGAAAATGTGTATGATAATTTTGAGTAAATAGTCGTTCTCCGATGTATTACACTTGAAACACCTGCCTTGCTTCGCATGCGTTGCACGTCGAACGTTCCCTTCTCGATGTTCGCAAAATGTAATCGCGCAAGCTGATGCACGTGTAAAACAAACTAAACGCGTAGCAAGAAATAATTCAATTGTGCAATAGGCCACCCTGAGATCGCGCCAATAACTCGATTGTGTCGCGACGGATAGAGCGAGATTGTATTATAATATACATGCGTGACGCTACACCGCTTGAATTTTAAGATCTTCACGCAGAAGCCGTATCTTTTAGTTTTATCGGCTACATCGTGTACGATGATCGAGTGCGTGGACCTTCGAGCGTACTAATCGCTGATTCGAGAGTGATTCTTAATACCCTATATCCGTGAGGTGCTTACCTCTACCTATACATATCTCGACTTGGCTCTATACAGCGCGTATATAGTGCGGCAGCCTCTCGTTGAATCTTGATTATAAAGCCAGAGCGGAAAAGTTTTAACCGAAGAGAAAATTAGGAAGAAGTTCCTCCGGTAAACTTGCGACGTGTACACGCGATATACGTATATATATATATATATATATATATATAGTTTCTGTTTTACAACGGGTGCACGGTATCGAAAATTGACTCTGTGTACACGTGGATTAGTTTGAGGCGCGCGCCCGAACGAACGTTGCGTTATACATTCTATGCATGCAATATATTGCGGCGCGCGACTGCTGCAGCGAGTTTACCAAAGCCAAATTTCAGATTATTACATTGTTACGTCGCGTTTTGCAGGATTACTTATAGCAGTACGAGATGTAACGACGAGGTAAATAAAGTACGAACTTGAGTTAACAATATAAAGTTGAGTCATGATCCGAAAGTTAAAACTCGGCCCGAGGAAGTATATGACGTATTCCACTTAGATAGAATTCCTTTCATAGCTTTCTTGAACAGACGTTCGTCTAGGCTTTGATGAGAGCTCTTTAGGCAAGTGTGATCTACAACCAGCTTTATGCTGTGACTTTCATGGTTTTCATTGATTCTTAATTTGGCTCCACATTTTTTCTTGATACAGCCGTACCTTTTGCAAACAACCATTTTCGTTTGCGGAATAAGGATACGGTTTTTTAAATAAAATAATTACCTTGTTTTTTATCATTCTTGATCCCGTAGTTGTATCCATCAAAATGCAACCCTTGCAGAGTAGGACAATTCGAAAAATTTGACATGATAGTTACGTTATGATTTTATTGGTTATGAGATAAATCAACTCTAGACAACTAGAAGTTTTTACTAGATGACAAAACGTCAATAATCGGTCATAACCTTTGTTTATAAAGTGTTTGTTATATTGAGGGATGAAATATAAATAACCGGTAAAAATATATATTTCATTGATCCCATTAACATGGCGGATAAGGTACGGTTTTCCAAAGAGAAAAGGAAGATACTTATCAGTCAACTAAAAATATACAAAAATGACAATTATAATAAAAGTAACAACACACCTTACGTTAATGCTAAAAAGGAAGCGTGGAAAAAAATTTGTGAAATATTTAAGGAACATTAATATGTTACAGAACTTTCTCATATAAAAACATATGATAACATATGATTAACATTTTATTACATTTGTTCAAGTATCCACGCTCTGTGCGTCGGTATTATCACGATGCCCGATGAGATGCGCAGAAATGTGCGTAATTTGGAATCCTCCAGTCTGGACCGGCTTAACCTCACTGCTCAGCTTGTCTCGGTGCCGTGCGGATCACACGAAGAGAGAGCCCTCTCAAGTATCTCACCGATGCTCTGTTCTGTGTCCGCACGTGCTCCAGCTTCATTTTACAGAGGAAGATGTTGGAAGACTTCAGAAGTTATTTAATCAATCAGCTGATGCGCCCACGCCACTAGAGGCTTCATTGTCGCAAGGACCGCAAGTGGCTGAGCTTAATTGCACCGGTGTAACAGACCGTGAGTACATTTCTTTTTAAGAAAGCATAATATATATATTTAATTGAAATCCCAATTGAGCAAGCTCTAAGTGGAGATGATTTTGCTCATTTGTGGATTTAATAAATAATAATTATAATTATAACTGCATTTCATTTTAGAGAGGAAAATGATGTAAGCTTTGAGGAGGTAACATCTAATCGATTAGACGATGATGAGGAGATGGATACCACCAAAATACCAGACGAGACTGAAGTACCGCCTGAGCACAACAGCTCCCCTTCCAAAGAGAGTGAGTATATTTTTTTCCATAGCAGTATAATTTTTGTTCATTGGAAAATCACTTTTTACAAAAATGATGGAAAGAATCGCCAGCGAGGAGGCAAGAGCCAGCCACCAAGCGGTGGTTGAGCTGGAAGAGTATGTATCGAACTGATTTTTGAAAGAACTAAAGGAAGAGCTTGGAGTTAAAGCCTAGGGTCTCAGTGTTGATGTCATGTCGCTCACCATTGGCTTGCTCAGTCTAAGTTAAATATGACTGCGACTTTCCCTGACCCTGACAGACCTGGTGATCACGTTTTTAAACATGTGGTCCAAGGCATGTTTTCTGGTACTAGGTCCACTGACCTGATAAACACCCTTTGTAATTTGATATACTTGAAGATAGCTATGGACATCGTGCGTGAGGAGTTTGGTCTTGAGCCCGTAAACTTGTATAATGTCCATCAAGGTGATGATGTTTGGGTTAGTAATGATAATGCTCTTTGGGCTGCAGTTTTGTTCTTTACCTTCTGTACATATCGAGATCACTGACACTACCTATATGTCTGATGACTGGATAAGACACTTGAGCAAGAAGGTTGGTAAGCGACATGACATCAACACTGAGACCCTAGGCTTTAATGGTTTCAGCAAAGCCATTGGCATGGCGCCTGGGGCTTGCTCCGGCCTTGCCACGGGTCTTCTCTGCATTACAGTACATATACTTAATCTCCTTCCAGTATGTACGACTCATGGAGCTCGGCGTACCCGCTCGCCTTCGATCGGAGCCGGAGGGAAGGGAGACTGTGCAGGTCTCGGGCGAGCTCATCCCAGTTTTTCCGAGTTCGTCGGCAATTACGTCGGAGGACACGATGGACTGGGAGAAGTCCGCAGTGCTCGAGGGCTACAGCTGGCAACAGCCGGCGTGGCAGCAGCGAACGAACGCCGACAGAAGGAGATAGGCGCGCCAACGCAGACGCGTCAATGGAGTTGGCACGCGCCAACGCACTCCATCGCCAGGCGAAGGCCGGCGTCCCAACGGAGGCGGAGAGCCGTTGAGAGAAGCCGACATGGAGGAGATGTTGCAGCAGCTAGTGGCGGCCCGTCAACCAGTGGAAAAGTGGCACGGCGAGATTCTTGAGGAGGTTTTTCGCGGCTCGCCTGAAGAAGAGAGTTTGTTGTTGGAGGAAGGGGAGGCGACGGCTACGTTTCGTCGCTCAGGAGAGTCGACGGAGGAGAGCGCTTAAAGTGATTTAACGCCCAGACTTTACAAACTCATTTGCGTGAACCGTACTTTTACTCTGTGCCACCTAGCGGCGACACGGCTCACTACATTACATACATCAATATATATAATAAAATAAATGAGCTAAGAAAATGAATCAAGAAAATAGCTTTTTTAAATTTTTTTCAACCGGTATAATAGTCCCTTAAATAATTTTTTTCTTAATTAATAATTTTTTAGAATACAATTTAGATATTACTCGAATGAAATAGATAACAAATTCAATTACAAGATCCTTAGGATTGATGAAACTAAAACCTACTTGACTTGTGGAAAACTCAAAGGGATAATTTGTCAACATCAAGATTGCATAAATTAATTTGTTTTTTACTCGAGAAAACTTCATCACGGTTTATTCATGATTTTAAGATTTTTGAGATGTTTCATTCCACGGCGAGTCTTTTAGCATTCGGAATAATAGTATTAGACACATTTATTCATGTTTTAACTGGAATATGGGTAAGCATTCAAAGATAAGTGAAGATAATTACAACAAACTCATTTCGATGTTAATATAGATGGTAATTTCACTGGCAAATTCGGACGTAACGGCACGTTCGGACGTAGCTGCAAAAATGTTTGTTGCATTCGCTTCTGTTTTGATTGTTATTATTGAAATGTGTATTCCAAGTCAGTTGATGAGCAATGCCAGCTATGCTTTTTTCTCCGTTGGTACAGATGATCTTTTATTCAAGTAAAAAATGTACGTAATTAGCTGAAATTCATTCGTGTAATTTTCATTTTAGCTATTGCATAAACTGGTATGATTATCCGGTAAAAGTCCGGGTAATGTTGATAATGATAATGAAAATGTGAATAAAACCCCTGGTATTATAGCAACTGGTCCGACGAAATCTTATTCAGTACAATCTGTTTTACAGGTAATCAAGGGAACGATTTCGTACGTAGCAATTTTCGGATCATTGTATGCTTCGTTATAAACTTATTGTAATAACGATTGAATAAAAAAAATTTTTATCAATTATAATGGTTCCTGACACTAAAAAAACGATAAAAAAATCTTCTCGATGCAATTAAAATTAACAAAGAGGCATTTGAAAATTGACAAAATTGGCAATATGCCATTTTTAGTACGATGCGGAATCGCGATGAATTTTTAAAGCAATTTTTCAAAATTTGGTTGAAAATAGTATAGTACACTAAATGAGCGTTATTAATTCTCTCCGGTCTAACAGAGTGGTAGAACGTGTATAGGCATAGGAAATTCCGGCGTCACAACAGACAGAACTACCACTCACCTACTGTACTACATTTATAAAACTTTCGAATAAATTTTGAGCGCGAAACTGACTTGGAAAGTATACGTGAGAGAAGGGCAGACGATAAAATTTCGGTATACAAACAGCACATCGAGTTGTTGTCATTCAGTCGATTCTTGTCATCGATACGCCAATGAGATCGTCTTCTGTCATGTCGAAATTATTGCTAATCGTTGCTCTGCTGCTGCTCGAGGCGACGAGCTCGTCGATCATCGACCTGTCCGACCTGTCCGACGAATACGCGGCACTCCCGTATTTTTTTCGAATGCCCGACAAAAATTACGCGCAAATGTGCTGCGCTCAGTGCATCGACGAAAAGACGTGCATCCTCTACACTGAGAATCGGGAGAAGACCTGCGCGGGCCTCATCGATCGCGAGTCCGTTGGATTGATGTGAGTTTGAACGAAAGAAAATTGAACGTCGATAATCAACGGTTTTAATTTGCTCTTATACAATGATTCGCAGCGATTTCTGGGGGGGCCGAATGATCACGACCTCTTATGATCTGTACGAGAAGTGGCAGCTGCTATGGATCGAGAACGGGTCCGACCCGATACTGAGAAGCCGCGACTTCAGCTGGGATGAGTGCGCCTGGAAGTCGCAGGTGGAAATTCATGACCTCTTGGGCCCAGTAATCACGGACGTTCTGATGGAAGTGGTCACCGATCCGTTTTATGACTACAACGTGCTGCCCTCCGTAAAGGAAACCAATTGCGGCATCTACCATTGCGACGTGACATTTTATAAGAAGCGCCCGGGGGAACCCATCCAGCTCAAAAGGAAGATTGACGACGACGAGCCGGGAAAAATCCATAGATTTGATCTGTGAGAATATTTTTTTGAAACAGCCAAAAAAAATCTTCAGAAAATTATTATTTTTAAAGACGTCTGTTTTAAATATTATTATTTCATGTTGAAAAAAAAAATATTATGTTTTAATAAATATAATCAGTAATATTGCTATCACATGCATTCCTCCATGTATCGTTTGGCTCTTTCTAGATTTTAAAATAATCAGTTTTATGAAGTGATCGCTTGAAAAATCGGCATGTCATGCACAAAAATAGTTATACCTATAACAGTGTAATTTCTGTTTTACATCATTTGCTCGATTATAATTGTATTTTCATTGTGAATTTCTATGATATGAACGAAGAAAATGTCTGAGACCTGTACTCTTTTTCTGATATTATTTGTAAATATTTAACTATCAGAAACTCGACCCCTTGTAAGCGACTGAACGCTTTGATAGTATTTTAGCGAGATTATCACGCGATTATGATAGATTCTTGAAGATCTTTTCCATCTTTCCCGTTGAACATAATTCACATACGCAGTATTTTACTGCTATATAAATTTGTAGGTTCTCGCGTGTCATTGAAACTACACCTAAATTGCAATCAAAAATTGATTTATGCAGTCACCAAATTTTTTATACACATATGATATATCCAAAAAAACATTCTATCAAAAAACAAATATACATAATGGTATACATTATAGACGCATGAAATCAGGAATGAAGTTCAATTGGTGATTGCCCACATATTTGATCAGAAAAAACTTGATCGAGTCATTTATCGGAAATTTGATCTAGCTTACAAATAACATAAAGCTTTGCCAAGCAAAATATCGAATATCTCATATGCTCTCCCACCTACAGACAGTACACGAAATTCGCAAAGATTACGTATGTTACGCAAGGTAATAAAAATTACGAATGCAATAACTGCAAAAAGAAGTTTGGACACAAACCGCATTTGCTCATCCATCAACAAACAGTCCATGAAGGTCGCAAAGATTTTGCACGAGACAAATGTGAGAAGAAATTTGGACAAAAAGCCGATTTGTTCGTGCACCAAAGGACAATACACAAAGGTCGGAAAGATTTTGCATGTGACAAATGTGAGTTAAAATTTGGAACAAAATGGATTTTACTTCTCGACCAAAGGACATTTCACGAAGGTTGTAAAGACTTTACATGTGACAAGTGCGAGAAGACATTTGGATATAAATATAGTTTGCCCATACACATAAATACACGAAGGTGGCAAAAATTAAGCATGGCACAAATGCGAAAAAAAATAATGATTGACAATTTTAAATATGCAGTATAGATATTCGAACATGAGTTATTCTAATATTTCAATAAAAATTGTGTTGAAATAGATGAGTATTATGTGAACCTTGAACGTTCAACTCCACTATCATTACATCTTCCTTCATAGTCAATGTGCTTCATTTTTAACCAAACGACTATTAATTGCCATTCTCTATGTACTTTTTGGCTCATGCAACGATAAGCCGTGGCCAGTCAGGAGATGGGTAAGGTGGTAGTCTACTTCTCCGTGTTTCCTCTCTATCCACAACCTGATGTTCGGGATCAGCCTGTAAGTCCATCGTCCCTTTGGCGAGCGATCCCACCGGCTCTGCCATCTTCTTAATGTCTCCTGGCCTTCTTCAGCTCTCGCGTCCTCATGGCTGCGCTGATAAAGCCGACTACGCTCGTCTGCTAGTAAGGCCAGTGGTGGTATGCTGGCGAGGACGTATGTATATCGTACGAGAGGTGCGGCTGACCTTTCATGACGCGTAGACAGGCTCGCCGATGGATTGCTTCAGCGCGATCGTCGCCACGTTAGATTTCAAATATTGTTAGGATAATGTATAGACAGATAAATCGGTACTTTAATTGTAAACAATATGATCATAAACCATTTTGACACAAGTCCCTTGACAAAATGATTGTGTTTGTATAGTAAAAACAAATTAGTTGGAATGTGCTCTCTGGAATGTGTTGTCTTCTCCGATGATACAACACATAATACCAGAAGATACCTTTTACTCGTTCAATTTCTGTGACATTAAGTCGACTGATTCATCGTTTCATTTCGGCTTAAATATGGATAAAAGTGAGAAGAAAATCGAGGAAGATGTCTCGGAAAATAACTCAAATCAACTGGACATTGTTGTTTCAGACGACGAACAACACGTTTGTGATATTTGTCAGGAGTCATTTACCCTAGAATCAATAATGATAAAACACCGAGACACAATTCACAACGAACAAAAATATTACACATGTGATCGGTGTGACAAGAAATTTGTGGAAAAATCAAGTTTATTCACTCACCAAAAATTATTACATAAAGATCACGGAAATTTCACATGTAACAAGTGCAAGAAAAAATTTAAAAATAAATTAACTTTAATCAAGCACAAAAAAATATTCCACGAAGTTTTCAAAGATTATTTATGTGAAAAGTGTGCAAAGAGATTTGGAAATAAACAGAGTTTGCGTTTGCACATAAAAACAGTCCACGAGGGTCAAAAATATTTCACCTCCAAAGATTACTTATGTGACGATTGTGGAAAGAAATTTGCAAACAAACGGAATTTACTCTTACACGTGAAAACAGTCCACCAGGGTCACAGAGATCAACCATGCAACAAGTGTGAAAAGAAGTTTGGATTCAAATCAGATTTGTTGACGCACCAAAGGACAGTACACGAGGGTCGCAGAGATTATGCATGCGACGAATGCGATAAGAAATTCGGAGTAAAAGTACAATTGCTTTTTCACCAACAAACAGTTCACGAAGGTCGTAAAGATTACGTCTGCAACCTGTGCGAGAAAAAATTCGGACAAAAATCGGATTTGATAAAGCACCAAAGGACAGTTCACGAAGGTCGGAAAGATTTCGCTTGTGACAGGTGTGAGAAGAAATTTGCACAAAAACAGAATTTACTTTTACATCAAAAGACAGTCCACGAAGGTCGAAAAGATTACGCATGCGACGAATGCGAGAAGCAATTTGCACAAAAACAGAATTTACTTTTACATCAAAAGACAGTCCACGAAGGTCAAAAAGATTATGCATGCGACGAATGCGAAAACAAATTTGGAGGTAAATCAGATTTGTTAAGACATCAAAAGACCGTACACGAAGGTCGGAAAGATTTCGTTTGTAACAGGTGTGAGAAAAAATTTGGACAAAAACGAGCTTTGCTCCGACACCAAAAGACAATCCATGAAAGTCGGAAAGAATACGGATGCGACGAATGCGAGAAGAAATTTGCACAAAAACAGAATTTACTTTTACATCAAAAGACAGTCCACGAAGGTCGAAAAGATTACGCATGCGACGAATGCGAGAAGAAATTTGCACAAAAACAGAGTTTACTTTTACATCAAAAGACAGTCCACGAAGGTCGAAAAGATTACGCATGCGACGAATGCGATAAGAAATTCGGAGTAAAAGTACAATTGCTTTTTCACCAACAATCAGTCCACGAAGGTCGTAAAGATTACGTCTGCAACCTGTGCGAGAAAATATTCGGACAAAAATCGGATTTGATAAAGCACCAAAGGACAGTTCACGAAGGTCGGAAAGATTTCGCTTGTGACAGGTGTGAGAAGAAATTTGCACAAAAACAGAATTTACTTTTACATCAAAAGACAGTCCACGAAGGTCGAAAAGATTACGCATGCGACGAATGCGAAAAGAAATTTGCACAAAAACAGAGTTTACTTTTACATCAAAAGACAGTCCACGAAGGTCGAAAAGATTACGCATGCGACGAGTGCGAGAAGAAGTTTAAACAAAAGTCATCTTTGCTCTTTCACCAAAAGACAGTTCACGAAGGTCGCAAAGATTATGCATGCAACAAATGCGAAAACAAATTTGGAGGTAAATCAGATTTGTTAAGGCATCAAAAGACCGTCCACAATGGTCGGAAAGATTTCGTTTGTAACAGGTGTGAGAAGAAATTTGCACAAAAACAGAGTTTACTTTTACACCAAAAGACAATCCATGAAAGTCAAAAAGAATACGGATGTGACAAGTGCGAGAAGAAATTTGGGACAAAATCGAATTTATTAAAGCACCAAAAGACGGTACACGAGGGTTGCAGAGATTACGCTTGTGATACGTGCGAGAAGAAATTTACACGAAAATCGTATTTACTTTTACACCAGAAGATCGTCCACGAAGGTAGCAAAGATTTTGCATGCAACCTGTGCGAGAAAATATTCGGACAAAATTCACATTTGATTAAGCATCAAAGAATAGTCCATGAAAGTCGCAACGATTAAGCATATCACAATTGCGAAACGAAATGGTGATTGATGATTTTAAATATTTATGGATACATATAGTATTTATAAAATTTTAATAAAAAATTGTGCTAATTGAGTAATTTCATTAAGCCAACGTGTCATTCTGAAAATAAGTTATAAATATTCACATTATTGCTTCCCCATAAAGTAAGCTTTGTGATAGGCTCGAAAATAAGATTGTTCCGTGAGAGGATTATAAATGATTTTGCTCTAGCCAATTAAACAGAACAAAAAAATAACAAATTTATTAACCAAGTTCTTATAGGTAATTCGATTGGGGCTGCGGCCGCATCAGCTAGAGTCGCCTTGAGCTCAAAGGTCTATTGGTGTAGCATCGTACGGGGGGTGCGGGTGACCACTGATGACGCGTAGACAGGCTCGTCGATGGATTGCTTCAGCGCGATCGTCGCCACGTTAGATTTCAAATATTGTTAGAATTATGTATAGACAGATAAATCGGTACTTTAATTGTAAACAATATGATCATAAACCATTTTGACATAAGTCCCTTGACAAACTGATTGTGTTTATAGTAAAAACAAATTAGTTTGAATGTTGCCTTACTTGACGAAACAAGCCATAACATTAAAAGATCAATTTCACTCGTTCAATTTCTGTGACATTAAGTAGACTGATTCATTGTTTCATTTCGGCTTAGATATGGATAAAAGTGAGAAAAAAATCGAGGAAGATGTCTCGGAAAATAACTCAAATCAACAGGATATTGTTGTTTCAGACGACGAACAACACGTTTGTGATATTTGTCAGGAGTCATTTACCCT